GAGACTTAGCCCATTTGTTGCGAGGTGGGATAGCTATCACAGTTCTTGCTTAATCTAATCATTACATACTATTAAATGTTAAATTTTTACCCGTAAATACTTCTTGGACTTTATTTTGCATATATCGGATGCTAGATAATAGACAAAAGATAGCTTTTTGGAATGCTCTCGTTGATCTTATGGATGCTTATGAATTGAGTGGCAAACCATGCTTGATAATAGGTGACCTGGATGTAGACTTCCCCCTTATACTTAAGGAGATTGGTGGAGAAATAAGGGAAATAAGAAAACCAAACCAATCCTAGCGAAAGCTTTTAATACCTTTGTTGATTATCTGCAACTCCACGAGATAAACCTAGGCCGAGGAGGGAACTAGACCAGGTCAAATGGGCATTAGGGACTAGGAGCAATAAAGAGAAAATTGGATATGGTCCTCCTGGTTTCAATGGAGTTGTTACAACTACTACCCCAAATCTGGGCATGAATTAGACTGCAATGGAACTAGATCATAAATCATTGAATATAATCTTGAATTCTAGCACCACCCAAAGGTGAAGAAAAGTTTACATAAATGGAATTGGGAGAAATTTGATGACATAAGCAAACGAGTGGTATTGATTAATAAAAGATTATTGGAGGAAGAATCAAATAATGATGGGGAAATAAATGATTCAAATCTTGATCTTAGAAATGATAAATGAAAAAATATTAATCCGACAATAGATATTTTGGTGACAAAGGTCTATGCAAATTTATCTAGCACAAAGGGGACTCGAACACTTCTTATTTCCATAAGTGTGTGGAATTTTGAAGGCAAAGGAATTATATATTCAGCTCCAAAATAGAAGAAGTTGAGTGGAAATTTGAAAATGAAGACATAGCCGAAGCCTTGATAATGGCTTTCTTAGAATAGTTTACCACCCACAAAGTTGAGCCTTTTTAACCAATTAAAGGCATATTTTAGTCAATAATCACTAAGGTCAACAAAATGTTAACCAGCATCCCCTCAATCAAAGAAGTTGAGGAAGTGGTTTTTGTTTTTATTTTTAATTTTTTCTATTGGTGCTTTGAAATCACTTGGACCAAACGGTATCCCAACCTTAGTCTAGCAAATGTTTTGGGGAATTGTAGGAGAGAAAGTGCATGGTGTAGTGATTGATTTTTCCAAAAATAAAAAGTTTATGGGGAAATTGAATAACACTTTCATAACATTAATACCTTAAATTAACAATCCCAGCATGGTCAAGCACTTTTAGACCCACTAGTCTTTGCAATGTCCTACATACAATCAAAAGACTGAAGTTTCTTCTATACAAGTGTGTTTCTCCTTCCCAAATAGTTTTGTCTTGAATAGGCAACTCCGATATAATATTGTCAATGCTCAAGCGCTCATCCACTTGATGAAATCTTGGAGGAATGGTAGGGGGTTTGATGGCTTTAAAGTCGGACATTTCTAAAGCCTATGATTTTCTTGAGTGAGACTACCTTTTCTAGGTCTTAATAACAAAATTTTCAATCCTTGTCAATGATACTCCTGAGGGGCTACTTTAAACCCACGTGTGGTTTGAGGCAATGGGACCCCATATCTCCTTACTTATTTGTTCTAGCTATGGAGGGCATGTCTAGAATGATTTACAAACTTAACACTGAAAATAAAATAAAATAAATGGAATTACCATCTCTAGAGTATCTCTAGCTATCTCCCATATCCTGTTTGCATATGATATTCTGTTATTTGGGAAATCAAATAGAGAGGAAGCTATTGATTTCGAAGACTTATTGCTAGAGTTTCAAACCTATAAGACTTATATGGCAAAGAAACAAGGCAACATCTTTAAAATTTATTATTGAGAAGTTGAGAGGGAAATTAAACAGTTTGAAAGCAAAAAACACTTTCTTATGCTGAGAAACTGGTCTTAAACTGTCTTAAATGAACATAATCGAGTAATTTGTGTGCTCCCAAAGCTGAGGGAGGGCTGGACTTTTGGAGGATGGATACGCTAAATAAAGTGCTATTAAGTTAGCGTAGAAATTAATAACAAAAAATAACGCTTTGTAGATCCAAATCTCAAAAGAAAAGTACTTGAGAGAAAGTAGTGAAGTTGGACCTAGGAAATAAGAACATTTGGCAAAAAAAGGAAGTAGTGAAGTTAAGCCAACTTGAGCCCAACTCGATCTCAAACCAACCTATGGTTGGGGGTTTAACAACTCAGATTGGGTTAGGATTGACATTAACTGCACTTAACCCAACCCAATTTGCACCCATATTCATATTAGCTAGGCTTGTTTTTTTTTTATTATTAATAAAATTTACAATTGTCATCTCTTTCTTGTAGGGCCCGAGTAGCCATATTTCTCCTAGGCCAAGCTCGGCTCAAGGAAGCCATAGGCCCAGCCCAGAAATTGTGTACAAGCATATTATATAGGTATAGCATCTTAATATATAAACACTTAATTTTCAAACACACATATATATATATATATATATATATATGTTTGTAATTTTGATTATAAGGTTAAATTAAAACCTTATTAATAATTTTTAAAAGCACTAGTGTAAGATATGCTTATACATGTTTGCAAGTAAGGATTAACCATATATGAAATATGATTCAACTTTTATGACACACATGAAACCCAATGCAAGTATTTGATTTACATAGTATAAAATAAACATTGTAATTTCATATAGGCCACTGAATGTCTTGCTTGACCTGGCTGAAAGTGGGCCCAAAAATATATTATAAGATCTGGGATATTGGTCAAAGTGAGCCCGAAAAAGCCTCACTAGCTCAAGCCTGGCCTGTTCCGGCCCGTGATCATCCCTAATGGTCAATTTGCATTGGGGTGGACAAGAACAACAAACATAGGAATCATTAAAACTCTATTGATGAAAATGTAGGTTGCAATAGAGGTCCATCTTTCTACAGCCCAAAACGATTTTCTAAGGTACTAGTAGAGGGCCCCTACGTTGCAGGGGCAAACACATGATGGTAAGTGGCTTGTCAAAGGTTAGAAAAAATATGTGAAAGGTAAATTTTTTAATTAAAAATTTATTGGAAAAAAGATTTATTTAAATTAAATAAAAATTTATAGATAATAATATATTTAATTTAGTAAAATAAAACAATAAATAAATAAATAATCATGGCAATCAGGCAATAGAGTGAAAGAGGGAGAGATGAATTTTGCCATTGTATTTTTTGTTTTATATAGTGTAATAATTGTAAATAGTTAAATAATAGTTAATTTAATTTAATAAATAAATAAATTTATAAAATAAATGAGATAAATAGACAATCAAGTGAAATAGTAAATATATACATGATTCTATGTCTTACTTTGCTAGCAATAATAATTTGTTAGGTTATTAAATTATTAACTAATTGAATAATTTAACAAAATAAGTAAATAAATAAATAAAACTTTATGTATTATCAACACAAGATTGGTAAAGGCTATCTCAAATTATTTAATTAATTAATTTAGTGTTGTTAATGGGTCAGGCTAAACTATTGGGCTATCGAGCCCTTGAACAGGCTTAGCCTGGTTCGTGGCCTGGCCTGGCCTAAGACTTGGTTTGTGGACCAGCCCAACCCGTGGCACGATACGGGCCTGCATGGGCTTGGGCCGTATATTATATACAATAATTATATAATATATTAACATATATAATTTTGTTATATTATTTCACTTTATTATTGCATATATAAACAATCGCATACATGAAAAATCATATAAAATAAAATTTTAAGATACTTTTAATTTTTTTATATATTTTTTAATTTATAGAAACATGGCTTCACTCGGTTTGTGGCCTAATAATAATTATATAATATATTGAAATATATAATTTTATTTTCAATTGTATACATAAAAATTCATATAAAATAAAATTTTAATATCTTTTCTTTATTTTTTTGGTATATTTATTTTAATTTATGTTAAATGTTTCATTATTTTTTTTCAATTTTTTTAAAAAACATGGCTTAGCCTGCTTGTGGCTTGACCTGTCAAGAGTTGGCCTGTGGCACAGCACGGGCATGCTAGGCTTGTGTTGTATATTATATACAATAATTATATAATTCATTTTGTATTGCATATATAAACAATTGTATATATCAAAATTCATATAAAATAAAAATTTAAGATCTTTTTAAATTTTTTTAATTTATGTTAACCTTTTCATTATTTTTTTCAAAAATTAAAAAAAATATGGATTAACTTGATTTGTGGCCCCGACCTGACCTAAGACTTGGCTCGCAGACCAACTTGAACTACAGCACGACACCGACCTGTGCGGGCTTGGACCGAGGGCTATGATAGGCCGACCCCTTAAAGTATCCTAGGAGAGGGAAGCACAACCCACGGGGCATAGCCCAACATGGCCCAACTAGAAATAAAATGAGAGATAAAGACATTTTTTAATAAATATGAAAAAAATAAAAATTTAATGGCATCATTATAAATAATTAGCAATGCCACCATTGTAAATGATTATATATTTAGTATCAAATATGAAAGATGAAAAGAAATAACATGATTGTTTTTTTTTTATTCCATCATTGCAATTAATTAATTTTGTAATTGTAATGCTTAAAATCATGAAAGGGAAAGATTATAAGATTTCAGGTTATATAAAAAAGATTTTGTTTCTCAAATGTACTACAATTGGCCGTACAATATTTTATTTTAGATTATATATATAAATTAATTAATTTATAATGATAATGATTAGAAGCATAAAAAGAAAAAGATTCCATATCATAGTCGAGCCCTTATAAAATTGTATATAAAAGTGAGATTCGAAGACAAATATGTAGAATTGTAGGAAAAATTCACTATCAAAAAGAGATGTGAAAGCTTGGTTGAATATTACCATAATACTGTAACAGCATTATTACAGGCACACGTGGAGAGAATGAAATCAAACTGGTGGCTAGCAAATTTAGGAGTTAGGACATGTTTGTTTTCGAATCTACCATCCTTTAGCACGGTTGGACTTTAATATACATTGTATCTGCCCATCTTCTTTTCATCCTATTTCAAAAGAAAAAAAAAGGAAAGAAGGAAAAAAACCCACAAAGACTACTCATCTTTGGCACCGGAGATTCAATTAGAAACGAAAGGCAAAGCTACCAGAACTAAGACGTTGCAGCAGACGGCAGTCCAGCATGTTAGCCGCTTCAAAGTGCTTGAGGGTCTGCGAGCTCTTCCGGAGCAGAGCAGAGATGAATGCGCACGGTTTCTGTCGAAGCACAGTGCTCCCAAGCCGGTGGAGCACCAGTCACCGGATTTCTCGAGAGCGTTGGCCTCGTGTAGGACCTAAAGAGGTAATGAAGAATAGGAATTATGGGTTTTCTGGAGAATTGGCTATTGGTCGTCACAAACTGGATAATGTTGCAAGCAAAACTGGGTTTTTTAGGCATCTCACTGGGTTTCTGTCGGATACGCCTTCACCTGGGCTGCCTCGACCATATAGAGAATCTGTAAGTATGAGCTTTATCTTGTTTTTTCATTTCTCTGCTTGCCCAAATACTCTTTTTGAAGAGATTGGAATGAGTCTTAGCAATGTATTGATTATAGATGATGAATTCCATTCGAAGTGTTATACGAAAATCCAAGTTAAATTATAAATAAATATCTGGTGTACATGTTACCTGCCATTCAAAGTGCGGTTACTTATCAACAGAAGTGGGGTTCTCACTAATATTGATAAAGAAATGAGCTGACAAAGCGCACCCCTTGATCACCATTTCATAAGCTTTCTCTACTTTAGCTTGCTTGGTATTCCTTGCAGACTTGATATTTTAAACTGTCCACAGTCCTATTTGCAACGAGATACTGATCAAGGATTCACCTACCCTTGACAAAAATGCCTTGAGTTTTGGGCTGAGGGTGTTCTAGGTTATTAGTGAGTGGTGTCTGCTGTTTTTTTTTNGTTATGGTTTTCTTTGGTGAGTGAGGGGTGTGGGAATGTCAGAGTTTTTTTCTATAATGAAAGGAGGCATCACACATACTTCAATCATCTTTAATTTCATTGTATATCTCCAATAAAAATAAATTAAACTATAACTAAAAGTAAAAGTAAAAATAAAATTATGTAGCCCCTATTTCCATCCTTTTACCCCCCCMCCCCCCCAAAAAAAAATAAAAAATAAAAAAACCATAACAAGTCTACTTATCTTCGACTCCAAAGATTCAATTAAAAATGTAAGGAAACCCTACAAGAACGAGGAAGTTTCAGCAATTAAGCATGTTACCTGCTTTAAACTTTAAAGTTCTACCTACCAAAAGGAAAAAAAAAGAAATAAAGAAAAGATATTAGATTCATCGTATTTTTCCTAATTGTGACTAATCTCAATTCGTTGATCAACCATCAACTAAGTAGTGAGCTTCTACTTAAATTATCCAAAAAAAAAAAAGTCTGGGTACTTCCCTGGCCAGCATTTATGTTTCATTCTCAAGCCATACTAGTAGTTGTAAGGCAATATTCTTTTCCTTAATGTTGTTGAAGTAATGCTTCTCTGATTCAAACTTGTAAACAGAATTCGTTATACAAGGGTTATGCAATGTTTTCAACATCAGTGGGTGATTTGAAGCGCACACAGCAAGTGAGAGAGCAAAACCAAACCAATATAGTTGTTAAAGGAGCTTCTGAAGAAAAAATCGCAGACATGACTATCCTGCGCACTCTTGCAAAGTACTTATGGCTGAAAGATAACCTTGAGTTTCAATTGAGGGTGGTAATGGCATTGGGTCTTCTGGTTGGGGCAAAGGTGATATCATTTTTTTCTCTTATTTAGAAAAAATTTTTCTTATGGTCATTCTATCACCTTTCTTTCTTTTCTTGGAAAAAATTGTGTATCTGCTGAAACACATAGTATAGGAAAACAAAAAGTGGTTCTACCAATAATTCCCTCACAAGTATCTTTAATATTGTCATTCAGGTTCTAAATGTTCAAGTTCCATTCTTATTCAAGCTTGCGGTGGATTGGTTGACAAATGCTACAGGGGCTGGTGGTGCACTTTCCTCATTTATGACAGCTAATTCCACTGTTGTTGCGCTTTTTGCGACTCCAGCAGCTGTTCTAGTTGGGTATGGAATAGCAAGGGCGGGGGCATCTGCTTGCAACGGTATTACAAATGAAGTAATCTTTTAGACTTGTCTGGTTTTGGATTGATAGAGTGCTTGTATTGGATTTTTATATCCATTAAAGGTTTTATTGGTTGCTTCTTAATGCTTGGTCATCTTTCATACAAATGGCAAACTGTTGTTTTCTTGTAGAGTTGCGGAATGCTGTATTTTCTAAGGTGGCATCACGGACCATCCGATTAGTTTCTAGGAAGGTAAGAAAAAACCTCCTTAATCCTTTTCTTTTTGCTGGGTTATTCTTCTAGTGGGAGAAGTTACTTTTTGTTGTTTGATACATATGTATCTATTTTAATTTAAAGAATTTGCATTGTAATATTCTATACTGCTTATAGATCCTATGGTAGCTTGTTCATCTTTGGTCTTAAGTATTGTTCAACCCCTTGGAATCCAGTTATATAGGATGGGAATAATATGATTAACATGGTTGGTTAAGAATGCCAAGGTTTAAAATTTTGCAATGTATTGGGCTGTATTGCTCATTTTAGTTCTTCCATCATTTTTTGATGGTTACCAATTGTCTTGATATCTCACACTTTATATAAACCATTAAAGTATTGCTTTTTATGTTTAAGTAACTTATTTATAACCACAGAAAGCTTATATTTGTTGTTATTAGTATATTTTTTTTCCAAATTTATTTGAGTTTCCTAGCGTATACATGCATATTTTGATTTTTCATCTGTGTCCACGTGTATCCAAAGCATATGCCGATATGTCTCTTGTTGCCTTTCCAATACACCTTACGTTTCCAATACTTTGAACCTTGAAGAATATAAATTAAGGATTTGAATTATGAGAGAGATAGGGGTTGAAAAAGGATTAAGACATTCTAAGAAAAGAGGAGGTTACTTGGAGACAAAAATCTAGATGTCAATGGCTTAGGGAAGGGAATGACAATACCATTTTTTTTTTCATATGTTGGCAAATGGGAGAATGAGGAAAAACTCAGTGATGAAATTGGAATGGAATGGGCAAGTATTGACAAGACATGAGGACATAGATCAAGCCTTGGTGGATCATTTCAAAACACTTTATGAGGGCTCGAGGAGTTCAAGAGAAGATTTAGAGGGCCTGGAATGGAGGGCTGTAAATAGAGAGTTGTTGGATTCCTTGGAAAAGAAATTTGAGGTTCAAGAAGTGAAAAATGCAATCTTTTTGATTTAATGACTTAAAGCCCTGTGAGGCTGGGACCTGATGGTTTTACGATGGCATTCTATCAAGATTGTTGGGAGATAATTGAGGGTGACCTGATGGAGATTTTTGATGAATTCTATGAGAGGGGCAAATTTAACTTAGGTGCAAATGTAGCTTTCATTGTCTTTTTTTTTTGATAAATGTAACTTTCATTGCTTTGATACCAAAGAAAGTGGATGCAATCCAGCCGAAGGATTTTAGGCCCATAAGTCTGATAGGAAACATGTACAAAATCATTTTCCAGATTTTGGGCCTAAGAATAAAGAATGTACTCCCCTCGATGATTTCACCAAATCAAGGGGCCTTTGTTTTTGGGAGACAAATAATGGATCAAATTCGCATTGCCAATGAATGTGTAGAGTTTAGAAGAAGGGAGAAGCAAAACGGACTGGTTTGTGAGTTGGATTTAGAAAAGGCTTATGAGTTATGGCATGGTGGACTGGGAGTTTCTGATGGACATTCTTAAGCGTAGGGGTTTCGGAGCAAGATGGTGTAGATGGGTGAAAGGCTGCATTTCTTCATGTCACTTCTCAGTTTTGGTAAATGGAGTAGCAAGAGAATTTTTTTCCTGCCAAAAGGGGCCTTAGACAAGGAGATCTTCTTTGTCCCTTCCTATTTACTCTGGTAGCTGATGTGTTGAGTGAATTGATCATAAGGGTAAATGCTAACAACATGTTTAGAGGCTAGAAAGTTGGAAGGGAGGAAGTGGTGGTTACATATCTACAGTTTGCAGATGGCATTATCTTATTTTGTGAGGGCAAAAAGGATAGTATATAAATTTGAGAGGATCTCCAACCTTAAAATTAATTGGGGCAAGAGATGTGTAGTAGGAGTAAATTTAGGGAGTGAAGAGGTGAATTTGCTAGCTGGACAGTTGGGGTGTGAAGTAGGGGATTGGCCATTGCAATATTTGGGACTACTATTAGGAGGAAATCCAAATACAGATAGCTTATCCAGTGATTGAGAGATTTACAAAGAGACTTACGAATTGGAAGAGAAACTACATTTCTTTGGGAGGTATGATAACCCTAATAAAGTCAACATTGGCTAACTTACCCATGTATTTCCTATCTACCTTTAGGATATTGGTGAAAGTGTCAAACCAGCTAGAGAAGATTATGAGAGACTTCCTTTGGTAACCAAGAGACACTAGAAAAGACCACCTAGCGAAGTGGGAGGTGGTTTCTAGAAGTAGAGATGAAGGAGGTCTAGGAATTGGAAATATTAGACTAAGAAACATAACATTATTGGGGAAATAGTTATGGAGATTGCCGTTGGAACAAGATAGACTTTGGCATAGAGTGATTATTAACATTCATGGATTTGCAGACAATGGTTGAGATGCAAGAGTCAACCCTAGGGCTTCTCGATGCTCTCCCTGGAAATCTATTCATATTGCCTTTCATCCCTACTTTAAATTTGATGCCTATGCAAGAAACATTGTTGTTTTGGGAAGATGTTTGGGTTGGAGAGGTTTCCCTTAGTGATAGGTTCCCTACTATTTATTCACTGTTAGAAAATAAAGGAAGAATGATCTCTTTAGTTTTTATTGATAATTCTTGGGACCTGGGTATGAGGAGAGGTCTAAGGGAGTTGGAAATGGCAATGGTGGATGAATTAGTTACACTTTTAGGGTCAACCTATCTGGATCAATCTTGTTTGGATAATGGAATTTGGAAATCTTCCCCATCTGGTGTGTTCACTTGTTCCTCTTTCTTTGATGTCATCATTCAGTCAACAAACCCTACAACGATCTTTCCTTCAAAGGAGGTTTACTGGGACCTGGTTCTCCAAAAATCAATACTCTAGGTATGTTGCAAAGTAAAAGGTCAAATTTTTTCCTGTTGCCCTATGTTTGTAGCCTCTACTTGGGTTCTGGTGAGACGATCACACACCTATTAATTTCTTGTCCATTTGTGTGCTTTATTTGGACTTGGTTCTCTTCTATCCTTGGTTGTAGGTGGACACCTCCCCTGGATGTGGCAAGTCTTTTTGACCCAAGCTTTTTCAGGCAACCGAAGAGACGTGGAAGATTAATGTGGAGAGCCACAAGAGCAGCTATCCTATGGTCACTTTGGGATGAAAGAAACAATAGGATCTTTAAAGGAGTGGAGAAATCCAAGGAGGAAATTGTAGAAAGAATAACCATTATGACTATTCAATGGTTGAAAACTTTGGATTTGTTTAAAGACATCTCAGCCGAGGACATTTATAGCAATTGGGGAGTGGTGGCATCTACAACTTCCATAAAACCTACTGTGTAGGAATTTTGGTCCCCACCAACATAACAAAGAATGAAACTGAACTTTGATGGGAGCTCTAGAGGTAACCCGGGCCCTTCAGGTATAGGGGGAGTATTTAGAGATGAAAATGGAAGAATTGTTGCTATGTTTTCGGGGCCAATAGGAGTGGGGGACTCATTGAGAGTGGAGGTGATGGCCTTGCTTCAAGGTGCAAGATACGCCAAACAATTGGGGTTAAACCAAATTGAGATAGAGGAAAGACTCTAAATTGTCAATTGATTTGCTGCAATCAGGTAAGTTGGGAGCTTGGATTTATAGACAGCCTGTAGGCTGGGTAAGGCTTGGTTGGGGAGCGGTTTCTTTGAAAGACAGAGAAAGGTCCCGTGAGTAGGGAAAAATGGGGGAGTCTCTTAGGATGCAGGAATAGGAGAGCCGGGGTGTCCTCCGCGTTACTGGATGACAAGTGCTTTGGATCGGGTCCCTTCTGATACGAGGAGGATCTCTATTTATGGAGGAGATCCCGAGATCCTAAAAGGTAGGAGATGAGGATATTCGTTTCGTATAAGGAAAAGGGAATATTTGATTCACTGTCAATTATTGGATGCACTACTGGGGTTTTGCCACGTGTCTCATGAGGATCTTCTCGAGGATTGGCTTTTCTTATCCTTGAGGTCCCTCATTACTCACGTGTGCTACTGCCTTTTTGTGCATTATAACTAATCCTGCGTGGCATCGATGACATCACCATTTGACGGGCGACGCTTAGCTGGCCCTATGTGGCGACTCACTGCGTCCTTAATTGTTGTGGACTCCACGTGTCTCCGGGCATACACGGGCCTCTTTATGGGCTCGGCCTAGGTCCCTCCTGACCCGTCGCCACGAGCGCATTCGCGGGCTGTGGGTTTATTGCACACTTTGGCGGGTGTGGCTTCATCTCACATTCTCGAGAGCTTGGGACTCTCGGATGGGTTCGGCTGTGGTTTCTTTGGGTTCTAACGCTGACTTTACTCGGTGACCTGTGGGTTTATCGCGATTACTGCGATACGTATTTCGAGTTCATCGCAGGGATGCTGGTGTGCCGCGGGTTCATCGCAGCGTGGGGGTTGGTTGTGAGCTGCTCACGTGTATTTTGTGGTGTTGATCTTGATGTTTAATGTTCTCTGAGGGTCTGAGTGAGCGCTACATACCTACACAGCCATAAGGGAAATCCTCAATATAACAAGGGAGATTGGTGCTTGCTTCAACTGGACAAGGGGATCAGTTAATGGTTTAGCTGATACATTGGCTAAACAAGGGACTGTGAGGGAGAGTATGTTTTGGGCAGTTTTGTAATAAAGATTACTGGGGACTCAATACCTGTTTATGGGTGACAGTTGTACTTAATTTTGTATTAATGAAGTTACCGTTTCCAATAAAAAAATCTGAGAATAGAGACAAGAAGTAGGACAAGAAAAATGTTTCTGATCTGAGATTGAGAAAAGGGAAAGAAAGAATAAGAAGGAAGAAGAATACACTCTTACTGCAGTTAACCTCAAGTCAAACTTTTTTTTTTCCTTTCATTATCAGGATCTTATAGGGCTTTTGTTTAGAAGGTGATAACGAAGTTTCAACAATTGTTTGCTACTTACAAGTTTTTGGTAGGTAATTGTTCTTACGTCAGGTTTTGGGAAGATTTGTGGTGTAAGGTTGGCAATTATGTGATATTTGTCCAATATTATTTGGGTTGAGTAATAAAGATTTTACAGTGAATCAATGTTTTGAAGTAATAGGAGCAGGTACTTTGGTGTCTAAGGCTGCCTTTGGGTACCTTTTTTGTCTTGTGCCCTGTTGCTGCCAACTTGTGGGAAGGATCTGGTTGGAAAAGAATCTGAGCCACGAGAGAGTGAAAATGAGCAGATATTAGATCAAACAGGAATGGTGGAGAAGAAATTGGACTTGGATAAAGAGGTGGAAGCAGAGGTTTAGGAAGGTCTCTTTGATGATGGTCCTTGCAATAAGCTCAAGAGGATATATAAGAGGAAGGGAATGAAATCCAGAAATGAAGGCAGAGCTCAGCTTAAAGTAACAATATTGTTGCTACGTTGAAAGTTGAGGTGGGAAAGAGGGATATGGAGTCTTATTCTGAAGCTCAAATAGAAGATCATAGTTTTCAAGGCGCCAAGGCGAGGCTAAGCGACCATGGAGCGCCCAGGTGGAATTTAAAAATAAGAAGCTGATGGATTTCTACCCCTTCTGAATTACTTTTTTTTTTTGGTTTTATGTATTAAAAAAAGAATAAAAAAAACAAAAGAAGAAAATGAAGAAGAAAAGTAGGTGGCGGAGCCCCTGTTTTAGACCCAGAAAAGCTGGTGAAAAAATGCTTAAAATAAAAGAAGAATGTGAAGAATAAAAGAAGGGGTGGAACCCCTATTCCTCCCTGTTTCAGACACCAATATTGAGAAAAAAAGCTGAAAACACAAAAAAAATTAAGAACAAAAGAAGGGGGCGGAGCCCCTGTTTTAGTCCAACAAAATGAATAAAAAAACTTGGGGAAAAGATACAGAAAGTAAGAGGAGAAAAATGGGGCATAACCACTGTTTTAAACCCGGAAACAGAGAACAAAACGAAGAAGAAGAAGAAGGAAACTGATTAACTCACCTTGACTTAGAGAACTATGTGGGAACGATGGAGGGCTGTTGCTCTCTCCTCTTCCTCGGTTCGGTTCTTTTGTCAAAGTGAAACCCTCGAAGATTATTTTGTTCTTACTTTCCTCACAACAAAAACATGATAACATGCAACAGGTTCTATTATAAAATTAAAACCTAAAACCAACCACTAAAATATTATATATTTTATATCTATTTTTATTTAATAAATATTATATATTATATATGTGTTTCAATCCCCTAAGCGCCTAACATATTTTTTCTTGGCGTTTTGGCGAGACGCTCTTTGAAAAGCGCCTAGTCACCTAGGCGTCGCCTTGACAACTATGGTTGGAAGACTATGGTTTTGCAGAGAAAAGAGGAGAGGTCGGGACAGGAGGATTTAGAGGAAGACAAGTCTGAAGAGGAGGAGGTAATTGTTGATAAAGAAAGATAGAAGAGAATGTGGATTTGGAAAAGATAGTGGAAATTGAAGTCCAAGTAAGCAATATATTAAGGTTATCTTTTGTAGGAGGGGAAAAATATGCAAGAAAAATGTTCCAGGAATTGGAAAAGAGACATCCTTTGAATGAAGAAGGCTCTAAAGGGGAGACCTGAATGCTGAAAGTTGTTAGGGTCATTGGTTTGGGGATCTTAAAGGGGACTGCTAGGTTTTGAAGTGTTCTGGGTTTTGGTTGTGAGTTTTGTTGGTTTTGTAAAAATTAGGGAAGAAAAAGAGTTTGTATTAAAAGGGGTTGGAGGGTCTTGGGTTTTGAAATTTTGTTGTGATATCTTATCACCTTATTGTACTTTCTTCTTCTTTAATAAATTTTTCTTTTTCATTTATTGCTAAAAAATTTTTGTTACTCGTATATGAAGCTTATTTGTTATAGTTGTATTCCTTTATCGATCTTGGATTATGCCAATATCAGGAGGTCAAAATGATTTATTAAATACTATTATGGAAAGCAATCTTGAACAAAAGTACCACCATGCAAAGTTCTTTAAATTTATTTTGGCAAATGCATGTACCCTAGATCTAGTAGCATTAGCAAGGGGAATAAGATGCCCCTCAAGTTCCTCTAACTCCATTTATATCTTGACTTCAGGTTATGGCTTACTGTATGGTGAAACTTTTTTTTTTTGTTTTTTTTCCTTTCTATTGATCATTAAACATTTTCTATAATGGGTTTGTCATTCCATTCATAGGCCTCAATATGTAATCTAACAAGTAGTCAAGTACAACTGACTAGTTGTGCTTGAGACATATTATTAGTCCCTTCTTATCCAAGTCTATCTTCTATCTAGTGGCAGCACCCTGCTATTAAAGTTCTTGTCATCGTTTCCTATTTATTCATGTTTGATCAAAATGATGATATGGTCTGAGTTAAGATTCTTACTCAGTGATGGAGTTTTCAATTTGTGCAGGTGTTTTCCCATTTACATGGTCTTGACCTTCGGTACCATCTAAGGTAGGAAGGCATGAAAATTTTACAGTGGTAGATTTGCTTTTTGTTACTCAGAACTATGCTTGCATGGGGCATTATATCAACATGCTTATTAATGTTTGCTAATTGGTGGTATTTGTATTTCTTTCTCGATGTATGTGTTTTCATTAATAGTCCCCTATCTGGAATACATATTTGTCTAAACTCTATAGGTTTCTTACTTGCGAGAATTAAGTGCAGTGGTATTGAATTTTCCTTTTTCTTTGCATTGAATTGGAAAGCTCATCCATGTCTAATGTCCTAGAAATTATAATACATTAATATGCCATCATTTTAGGCCATCCATTATTTTGGTCTTGAATCTTCCTTCAATTTTTATTTCTTTTGGTTGAAACTAACTTGTTTTGTAAAATAAACTTTCAGGAATTGTGTTACTGAAGTTTTTATTGGTTTTAAATTCTGTGAATTGGTAATTTAATTGGAGATTCTTCTTTCTCCATTGTGCTTTTTTTTCTTACTTCAGGGCTTGGGGTTTGCAAGGACTTTCAACTATAGAGTTTTTTTTTGATCAGTAAATAACAACCTTTAATTAATTTAAAGTTACTTTGAAAGTACGTGTCACCTTTTTCATGATCAATTACGACAAATTACAGAAATGCCCAAAATAAAGTGGGTCTATCAGCTCCCTGTTTTACTAGAGCATCCGCCATACTATTCGCTTCCCTTTTTCTTGCTAGTGAGCTAATTTTTCTGAAGATGAAGCTAAGCTTTCAAGGTGCTAAGTTGATTTGTTTTGTCCAATCCCCTTCAATTTCCAGCTCTCTTACTCCCAACTGCTCAGCCAGTTTCAGACCTTGTAGGAAAGCTTGAGTTTCAGCCTGAATTTAGTCTTCAAAGCCAATCGGTCTAGAGAACATTGCCACAATTTCTCCTTGATGATTCCAAATAATTCCCCCTATCCCAACCCTCCCTGGATTGCCAAAGAAGCTGCCATCAACTTCAGCTTTAGCTTGTTTCGTCCTGATGGTTTCTAATTCATTCTTGCCTTTTCTCTATGCATTTATGATTCTTCCACTTCCCTCCAATTCCTTAGTATATTGTCTGTAGATATGTTTTTGAAGATGTCCAATGTTTTAACCCAATGTGCGGTTCTGATCTTTATGATTTCAATCACTTCCTCCCTTGACTTACATTTCTCATTGAATATCCTTTGGTTTCTTTCTTCCCATATGGACTATTACCACAATTGCCCTTACCACCTTCCACATACATCTCCCCCTCATTTTCTGCTGCCTTAGGAAATTTGAGCTGAACAAATTCACTACACCCTGCGGTGAACCCATCTGCAACTAGAGAGAGCAAAAGTATTTCCAAATATAAGAAATTGTTAGCGTAGGGGTATTTCTGGCTTTATACCTAGATTAATGTTGCTGATCTGTAATGTTGTGTTGGAACCAGTGCTCCTAACTTAAGTAAGGGTACATATGTCTTTTCAATTAATTTTAATAATATAAATATTGCCTGGTCGACTAGGAGATGTTAAGTTGAGTCTTCCAGTTCGAACCAGAATTTCTCCCTTCTCTCTTTCTTCCACCTTTCTCCTTCTACATAACTGATCTCAGACAGACAGAACTCTAAGGCAGAACCGAATTATAACATGGTATCAGAGCAACTTGAATCTGCCTAGATTTCTGCTTGCCTAGGTTTCTATTCTATGTGCACCCTATCTAGGGTTTTTCCTCTTTTTTTCTGCATTCGATTGGAGATAAGGGAAAGGGCTGAAAAGGAGTGATCGCCCTCTTCCCTTGGAGGTTTCTATGCCTCCAGTCAGGTTGTATGTGGTCGGTTGCTGTGATTTTTGAGTTCGCCCTCTCCTAGTAGAGGAAGAATAGAGGGCCGAACTGTGTGTGCAGTGGCTGTTCTGTGTGGCTGTCATGTGTGTAGTGGCTGTCGTGTGTGGACTGATTTCCTGCTCGTATGGTTGTTACTTCAGTGATAAGGTAAGAGATCTCAGTGCATGATATCCGTTATAGATTAAATAGGAAGTGCGTTTCAGACCATATGCTAGGGTTTCAGACAGTAATGTGCTAGGGTTTATGCTGGTTTCTTTGTGCATTTCGGAGGAAGAGATATGATCATATAGTGGTGAGATTTTAGGTAGTTGTAGGAGTAGGGTTTGTGGTGTAAAGAGCACACTTTTTAGCAACAAGAAGTGCTGAAATCAGTGTGACAGGTGTGGTCTAGGGTTTGTGATGTAAAGAGCATACATTCCATCAACAATAAGTGCTGCAATCAGTGTGACAGGTGTTGACCTAGTGGTGTATAGTGTGCAGATCTCAGTGATAATAGAATTAAATGGAGAGAATTATGGATGTTCAGATGGTGCCTACAGACTACCTGGATGTTCAGATGACCTAGTGTGATGGTGCCTACAGACTACCTGGATGTTCAGATGACCTCCATTAAATTAAATGGAGAGAATTATGTGCCTTGGGCTAAATCCGT